TCGCTTGTAGGTTGGAGGCCATCGCTTGTAGGTTGGAGGCCATCGCTTGTAGGTTGGAGGCCATTGCCATTAGTTGGAGGTTGTTCCTTCATGTTTCATCCATATTCTCTCTTGTGTCCGAACTCTTGCGGAAGTGATCCTTGGCTTAGGTCCTAGGTTCAACGTGTTTTTTTTTGCGCACAACGTGTTCCTGTTGAGCCCCAAAACCCATTTCCCCCATCCCCCACAAACTTGGTCCAGGTTTTCCCTACCAATATTCGACCTGTACAGCCTGGGGCCACAAGGATCCATCCAACCTCTTCATTTTTTTGTCGCTCCGCACGAGGCCTATGCCCATCCCTGCTTGGTGGCAGCCTGCCTCACGGCGCCGCTGGGGGTGTTTGACTGGACTTTTGGTGGAGAGGTGTTGCTTTGTTGCGCCGCACAAAGGGATCTAAAAGAAGGATGGAGGTCCAATCAGCTGTAAAATCTTGAGCATCTCAGGACTGGAGGTCAATTGCAGGTAAATTCCCTTCCAAGTCCTTCCAAGAGAGAAAGGGATGCGCTTACATTCTTGTGAAAAGTTTGCATGGAGAAAGAGCTTGGGAGTTCGCAGTACAGGGTTGAACTCTCAGTCTTGCTACTGCAACCAGCACGTTTTTGGTGTGATGCTTGAACGCTTAGTCTCACACATGAAGGAACTGTTTCACTCTTTTCACAAGATTTTTACCATCTCTCTAGAGAGTCTGAGGTTCAATACCGTTGTAGGTCGGTGTGGAATGAAGCTTGACATATCTGACAGAACATTTGGGTTGGTTCAGTGCTTGCTGAGTCAAGGGCGGTTGGTTTCGGGTTTGCTCGAGGTCGGCAAAATGTTGACTCAGTCAATTACTTCCATTGAATTTCCGATCGTTGCACTGTCCTGTCTACTTGTGCAATCTCATACTTGTTGTTCCAGGTCATGATCGGGTCATAACGCAAAGGTGGGGGGTCCAAACGTCGAGAAAGAGGTGATCCTTGAAAAGCGGACCTCTTGGCTGTTGGCCTGTTGGCCCTTTGGACGTTTCTACTGTGCGCAGGGATGGCCAGCACTCCAGTGCCTCAGCTTCTGCTGCTCCTTCCTCTTTGGTGAGGCGCGACTGTGCGAGGGAAGGTGCCAGGCTAAAGAAACCTGGGGAGCAAAAGGTTTGAATTTGGTTGAAGGGAAAGTATCCTGCTCCTGCGTCACCTGACGCCTCAGATGTGGCAACATTTGCCGACGATAGAGAGAAAACTTGAGAAATGTTGGAACAAGTGAGGTTCTTCAGTGTTGGGCGCACAAGTCTCGTCGAATCTGAACGGCCCTGGAAGATTCGTAATTCGATGAGTTCCATGGAGGGCTTCCCACGATTCTTCAACCAAGTGGGATCAAGAAATTAGAGTAGGTTCATGTAGTCCTTGGTTGAGTCAACCTCATGATTATTGGTGAATGAATGTGGAATATGTCTTGAACCAGTACCAACATAGTCAAGAATATGGAGCGAGGTTACATTGGCAAGTCAACCTCATCCATTTTCGCCACTCTCGCTTGGCCTTCAGGTGCTCTCCAGCTGGGCCTTCCGCTGTGCCGTGCACCTGATGGGACTCCGCGGAGCGACGGTGCAGCGACCGCCCGTGGCAGTGGCGGCAGGCGGTTGGAGTTGTTGGAGGAGACTGAGGACACCCACATCAGAGGGTGAAAATGGCGGGCTTCAAAACAGCTTCACCATGGACCATGGACACAAAAAAGAATCAATAAGGATGGATGCTGCACTGACGACTAAGATTGTCAAATCTTGAAGTTTTGTGCCTGTTCAGAGCTCCAGTTCCCACCAAAATAGGAGGAGATGTTGTCAATGATGGTTTGTCAACGAAGCAAACAGTGTAGAGATGCGCGATCGTTCATCATCGCCCCCTTTTTTAAAGCTATTAGTTTGCAAGCGATCCTTTGGTGGGAGCACCAGGATGAACCAGTACCACCGGGCAGCCCCGTACTGTTCTTTTCTTTTTCAGGCGAAGAGGCCCAGTTGGCGGGCAACACTTGGCACCTCGGCACCTCGGCGCCTCACCGGGTGGGACGCGATGCTTCGGACGTGGAGATCTTGCATTCGGACGTTCGGACCGGTGGAAGCAGACCCGATGGTACCCCCAACAAACAGGTGTGGTGAAGTGAAGCTGCAACGCGTGTTGAGCAAACTATGTGCAACTTGGTTCTTGTTGAGGGTTGCTTTCGCACCCGCACCTTCTCGCAGGAAGGCCTTGCTTTTCTGCAGAACATTTCGAGACGGTTTCTTCAAACAAAGCCACGGGCTAAAGTAACTGGAACTAACAGGCATTTGTCATCCACGGAGTCTTAGCCCCATCCGCGGAGTACGGCCCAGCGCGCACAATGCCAAGATCTGTCTCCTGAGCTTGTTGCTTTGAGGTTTGCTGGGCTTCGCCCGGGCCCCATGCCATGCTCCGGCGTGTTGTTTGCGACGAGGTGCGAGGTTACAGCTCCTCCTGAGAAGGAAAGGCTAAGCGGCTAACGCCCAGCAGAAAACTCCAGCTACTCAACTGTTTGGCGTTTTGATGATTGTGGATGTTCACAGTCAGAGTTCATTTGCCTCACCTGACATGAGGCTGCCAGCGTTCCTCCAGCTGCAGTGATTTCAGCTGCTTGGACATGACGAGATCGAGAAGAGAAAGAAAGCTGTCCTGCGTCGTCCGCCTGTCCCGGGATCAACGGGCCCGGCCGGGTGGCCGTGCCAGGGTGGAAGGTGGTGTGGGGCCAACATGTTTGTTAGGGAAGGGTTGTAAAAGTTCAAACAGAATGAATCATCCCCTGCTCGACTTGAATGCCACTCCAGCACCTTGTCCTTCTCCAAGCTGCCTGGCCAGCTGTTTTGCAATGACGTGGGAACCATCAGTGCTGGTAGAACCTCCTTCAGATTGAAGACTCAACCATCCCAACCAACACTTTACCCGAAACCAACGCTCACTCTCACTTTTGCAAGTTGGGCCAACCCTTTGACGTCTTTGGTGAGACGGTTCGTTACCAACTCGGGAAACTCGCTAAAACCATTGTATCCAAGCGAAAGGAAGGGGAACTTGATCTACTTGGGCAACATGGCAATGAATCAGTGACATACAAATGCTAAGTAGCTATTGCGAAACAGCCAGCACCCGATCCTTGGAGGAGCAGTCGTCTACACAACTGTTTGCCTCTTCTGTTTGCGAGCACGACTAATGGCCCGAGAAAACCAACTCGGCGAACCCCCACACCTTCTTGAATTTTGCCTTCAATTAAGCCAGAGTCCGGTGATCGCTACTCAAAGATGTTCAACAAGAACGGTTGAAGAAGTAGAGGTTCAACAAATGTCCAGAGGCTCTGACTGATCAAGGTACGGTGATTCCTGTTGCCAAGTGCGTCGACCCACTTGATCGTGAAAATGAGATATCTCCCAAGCTTTACCGACTTTCAGTCAGTGGAGGCAAGGAAGCCTCATGTGTCCCCTTGTTTCGTTCAAGGAGACTCCTATCTCCATGAAGAAACCTACAGGCTTTATGTCTTCAACAAACCCTATGTAGAAGAAGAGAGGGCCCTCCTGAGGGGGAAGAACCAAAAAACTCGAGGATCTCTAAATTTGCGACTCATTACTTGTGATTGTGGCACAATCTTGGAGTAGATTTCGATGTTTGGATACATGCTCGATCTCAAAAACCAAAGGATGCAAATATAATTTTGGAACAGCCAGATCACAAGGTCCAGAGTTTAGAGATTGTGGTTGCTGCCTTCTCCTCAAAAAAACATGTGGAAGCGATTTACACAGAGTGGAGGGAGTGCAGTTTTGCAAGCCACTACGACTTGATAAACTCTGATGTGCCCACTGACGTGGGGACACTTAGTGCGCCGTGCTGTGGAACACCAAGCGGAACTTGTGAGTTGTTCGGAAGCAAAGTCCAAACGGTAAAACTCTGAGATTGCCGCAGATTGCCTAATGTTTGAGACACCCCCCATGCCCCATGATATTCGGACTAGAAAATGGGAGGAATTGACGTTTGTAGAAAGGGGGCATGTAATGGGCCACAATGAGGTAAGCTCACCGGCAAGGGGTCAGGTATTGCATTTTCTAGACGGAATGTAATTCACTAGAAAATGAGACACACAGGTCACATAGGCATGCTTCCACTTGAAAATGAGGAGTGCAACCTAAACCCCTATAACCATGATTTTCTGGTGGCTTTGGTCTGGCTGTCCTTTGGATACCCTACCTTTCCATTTCTGGCCGCCTGAGTGCAGGAAATGGAATGGTAGGGCGCCAGAGATACTCTACCTTTCCAGTTGGAATTGTAGGGTATGGCAGGGTCTGATGATTTGGGTGTGCTGGTCGACAAACCAGAGGCGCCAATGTCTAGTGAATTTGGTCTGGCTGCCCCTGGGATACCCTACCTTTCCAACACTGGCCTGAGTGCCAGAAATTGAATGGTAGGGCGCCAGGGATACCCTACCTTTGCGCATGTGACCCAGGAATCGGGAACAATTGGTCCCAGATGGGTGGAGGCTACAGGAGTATAGTCACCACATTGAAATCAAAGCTGGCGCCAAAAATTCTGAAACGGTTTGGGGCCTATGCTGGGCATAATTGGCGAAATACGTTTGCTCGTAAATTTCACCAACATTGAACCACACCTGGAGTTGCTTTTGGTTCTTCCCCCACAGGAGGGCCCTCTCTTCTTCTACATAGGGTTTGTTGAAGACATAAAACCTGTAGGATTCTTCATGGAGATAGGCGTCTCCTTGAACGAAACAGGGGGACACATGAGGATTCCTTGCATCACTGACTGAAAGTCGGTAAAAGCTTGGGAGATATATAATGTTCACGATCAAGTGGGTCGACGCACTTGGCAACAGGAATCACCGTACCTTGATCAGTCAGAGCCTCTTGATATTTGTTGAACCTCTACTTCTTCAACCGTTCTTGTTGAACATCTTTGAGTAGCCATCACCGGACTCTGGCTTAATTGAAGGCAAAACTCAAGAAGGTGTGGGGTTTCGCCGAGTTGGTTTTCTCAGGCCATTAACCGATCGGGTGCTGGCTGCATTTGTTTGTATGCCACTGATTCATTGCCATGTTGCCCAAGTAGATCAAGTCCCCCATCCTTTTGCTTGGATACAATGGTTTTAGCGAGTTTCCCGAGTCGGCAACGAACCGGCTCACCAAAGACGTCAAAGGGTTGGCCCAACTTCCAAGAGTGAGAGTGAGTGTTGGTTGGTTTCGGGTAAGGTGTTGGTTAGGATGGTTGAGTCTTCAATCTGAAGGAGGTTCTACTAGCACTGATGGTTCCCGCGTCATTGCAAAACCGCTGGCCAGGCAGCTTGGAGAAGGACAAGGTGCTGGAGTGGCATTCAAGTCGAGCAGTGGATGATTCATTCTGTTTGAACTTTTACAACCCTTCCCTAACAAACATGTTGGCCCCACACCACCTTCCACCCTGGCACGGCCACCCGGGCGGGCCCGTTGATCCCGGTCAAGGTGGCCAGGGATCGCCGAGACAGGGGGACGACGCATTCTGTTCGTGGAAAAGCGGCCAAAAGTTGCCCAAGAATCAGATTCGGTAATAGTAACATATCATCAAAAAGTTGTTTCGACATGCCTGGCCGGCCGGCCCGAACAAAATTTTGGGAAGGTTGCGAGGACTTAGGCATGTTGTTTCCTGTGATCAGGGGATTTGGGGTAGTCTCTAAAAATTTCAAGAGACACTATCAATTGAGCAACTTCAAAAACCTCTAAAATGAAGAGTCAATGAAGAGTGTGCAAAAATGTACGCGCGGTGTTCAATCCCCAGCCCTTCAGCCCATAGTCCTCTTCGGGCTTTGGTGCCCCGTCGCCCGGAGAGACAGACTTGAAAGGATGAGACAAATCCTCACGCTCGCAGTTCGTGGGGAAAAGGATGGGTTGCTTCGTTTGGGTTCGGGACATTAAGGCATATTAAGTATTTAAGGCCCTAAGATCATAATGGTGACCATAACATGGTATTGTTCAATTTGTTTGACATTGGTTCTCCTCTTCGAAAGTTGTTTTTGAGCAACTATCCCCAAAACCACGGGGTGTTTGTTCCGGTGAAGTGTTGTTTTGTTCCACGTTCGTCGACCAATTTTCCCATCAACCCAAGCAGGCTGAACGAGTCCAAGATCAAGCCATGCACATGGGCCTGTCTCAAAAACTAGTCCCCAAAAAACCATGAGATCAGTTCACCATTTGACCTCCTCGGTGCTGCCATTCGGGTCGTTGCAGTCTGGGGGTCGTGGGTATCACACATGACCCACATACAGATACTTGGATAAACGACCACATCCTAAAAAGTTCATGATTGTTCATGACTATTCTTGACTCTTCTGGATGTACTTGAAAGCATAGGTTTAACTTGGCATCGGACTCTTTCTGTCCAAGGCTATTTGCGTGTTGCACCTCGGTGGCGAGCTCCCCCGGCGCCGCGCCCAACTAGCGCTTTACCTCCAGCGGCTCGGCGGAGGGACCCCGCCGTAGTTCTTCTCAATGTTCAACACTCTCAAGTTGGGTGTGAGATAAACCCATAGAAGGAGTGCAAAGCCTTCACAGTGGTTTTTTGTTCTATTTTCCATCCAGCTGACTCTCGAGCAACTGTATCTGACTATGTCTTATTGGGACAATGGGCTAAAACTGTGGTTGTTTGTCGTTTTCTTCGCACTTGGTTGTGGAAATCCGTTGCAATCCCTATTCTTTAGATACAACCATAGACCATCTGAGTGGTGAGGTCATCCACCCTCAGATTAGTCGCTAGTTGCGTCCATAAGGTGTCCAAATTCCTTTTCGCTTTTTTCCTTCCTCGGGAAAACGCGGGCACCATTTGGTACCCCTGATCCTGATGTATGAATTCTGACGAATTCCGGTTTCTGTTCACGTTTGGCCTGTTGACATTGGCGGCATGGCCAGAAACGTTTGGTGACATGAGCTTCGTTTGCTTGCATCTTGTGCCACTGAGGCTGGCTGCAACCCTCTGGTCGCTCTCTTTCGCAATGCTACTGCTGAGGCGCTAGACTTCGTGTTGTGGCGTGGATAGAAAGTATCCTAAGCATTGAGAAGCAGGTGACCGCAGACATGTGAATGTGTCTCAAAGGAGAGCCCCTGCACACTGCGAAATAGGCAGGGGAGAGCATGTCCCTATTGTTCAAAACTGGCATTCGGTGTTTGGACATGTTTGTTCCCATTTTGGGGGACTTGACCAAGATGAGCCAAGGAACCGATTACGAATAGATTGACGCCATTGCCTTCACCTATTCAGCCAACAAGAGAACACATTCGGGCGAGTGCAAGAGGCCCCAGAAATTCCCTGCATGCTATCATGTTCCCCTATTCAGCCACTGAACCACTTTTGAAGCACAGCCACATGATCACCAGACGGGGTCATCTTCACCGGTTGGGCGCTGTGGTGGCAGGCTTTGCTCTCACTGGCAGAATGTGACCTGCCAGGAGGCTTCGGTGGGCAACATTGGATTGGGGATGGCCTAAGCAGACCCTCCGTACTTGTTCACCCGTTCAGAGGCTGCAGTTCTTTGGGGCAAAGGTATAAATTCGATACGTCAATTCAGTAAATGAGTAAAATCGCATCGTCAGTATGGATCGTTCAGTTCGACCAACTCGGTCCATCGGTAAACACCGCTTTGTGCGACAAACATCCCGAGAATTCCCATCCACATGTCCCTGACAAGAGCGTTTCAAACAGATCAAACGATGTGGTATTGCCGCTCACCTTTGCAGAAGTCACTCTGCGACCCGAACCGGAGCACCGCAAAGCCCGCCGGAACTGCCCTGTCCGTTGAGAAGAATCATGAGTGAGCACGTCAGGGGAGCAGGTCGAGTTCCGCCATGAAATTGGTGTGACGACTGGGACTTCATGTCCCTTTTCTCATGAGCAATTTGATGGTTGGGGACAGGCTTGTCACTCGATGTGTGCCAACTTGGTCCATTGCTCGATTTCGATACCAACGTTATGGATCGTTTCTGCACCTTGGCTTCTCACTGAACTGCACTGAGACTTCTATAAGTTTCTCGCGCATGAGCACTAGAATAGATCATTAAGCCACACCCTCAGACTGCATTGCGCCCTGCTGTGCGGCATTCGATGCCGGCCGTCTAGTCTCTCATCCTGTCCTGCCATGGCCAGACCTACCTGGACCATCTTGTCTGGGTTTCTGGCCGGAGATCCCGGGTCGTAGTGTAGGGTAGTCCAGCCAGGACAGAAGATAGAATTGAACACATATGTGAAGAGTTCTCAGACAATGGGCATAGAATGTTGAATAAACCGTTCAAGAAGTCTTCTTGCAAGCATGGTCACCTGGCCTTGGTAAGGGTCGTTTTGATCAAGGTACCTAGATCGCTCGGAAGGTCGAAAAGGCGGACGATCTCATTTGCCAAGATCCGGTCGGGGGTCCCAAGAACACGCCACGTGCACGGCCACGCGTGGCTTCGCAGGGCACGATATATAGGAGGGCAGGCTGCGGGCAAAACCTATTGTCAATGGCTGAAGGTCTTTTTGTCTTGGCAATTTGGCCGACTTTGGGCATTTTGGGGAGGAGGACCAAACTGCTTGAGGGAAGAATCATGTTGACGGGGACTCAAGCAGGTAACAGGAAGGAAACTCTTCTGTGCTGCATTTGTTGGGTTTACTGGGTGATTGATGTTTGCATGTGCATCAGCAGAGGCAACTCTGTTCATATTCTTGGGTGAAGCTGCAGGATAAACGGCAAACCTGCAGCGCCTCGAGGGCCGCGGTGCGGCTGCGATTGAGGTCCAGCGGCTGCGTGTCATCTCGCAGGTAGCATGCTACTTTGAGACCTCCTTGGAGTCTTGGATGGCGTCGATGTAGCGACTCATCTTAGGTTGGACCCTTGAGGGACTCGCCGGACGGTTGAAGGCAGAATGAAGCAGACGCGACATTCAACCACGGTTTTTCTTGGTTTCCCAATCCCCAGGTGCTGCAGTGTGTCTTCTTTCAAGGGTAGGGGAGGCCATATCAAATGGATAGAAACCTGAACCCCCCATTCAGCATTTGCTGGAAATCGTTTGTATCACTTTGGGAGCAAGAGTGTATAGATTGGTTTAGCTTTAAGTTTGGTCTGGGAGTGGCATTGACTGCTCAACTGTCTACCGTTTTGTTTTGGTGTTCACTGTTGACGCACCGTGTGGCAATGAGGACCATGAGTAGACCACAATGGAACACCATGGACCCCCCGGTCATGGCGTGAATGTTGAAGTCATTTCATCAGCAGCTCCGGTTTCAGGAATGCGAGATCGTCTTCATTATCCTTTGCTGCTATGTGCGGTGCCCTAAAGAGCAACAGGGACCGGCATGTGGAACCTCATGCCAAACCTTGCACCTGCATGTAGAAAGGGAGTTTGCTGGGGGACTTCTTGGGGCATAGAGTTCCCCCAAATTGTGTGGAGGAAAGAACCTGTGAGGGCGCAGAGCTGCCCGGTTGCAGAGATCCAGACAGGGTGATGTGCGGTTCCAAACAGGAGGGTTGATGTGGCCTTTTTTGTGTTCCCCATTTCCCTCGTCGCAAGGACAGCAATATACAGCAATCCTATGCATTCCCCGTGTTTCCAAGAAACTAAAACCGACTGCGTTGTTCCGCCACTATGAGGAATGGTGATGAAGCTGTTATGTTTTGAGCGGTTGTACAACCATACAATGCTTGTTGAACGCGCTCACACACACAGGGAAGAAAAGACACCAGGGAACAGAAAACACCAATCAGTGAACAAAACCTGCAGCGCGTCACTAAAGAATCCGCGTACACCGAGTCATGGATGATGCCTGACTGCCATATGCACGAAGCACGACAAGCCCAGGGACTAGACAACCATCTCAAGAGTGAGTACCTTCAAGCAAACAACCTGTTTCCATGTGTTTCCCCATGTCTTTCAAGTAATTGGGTGAAAATGGATGGAAAACACATTTGAGATTGAGAGAGCCCCATTGAATAAGTCTATATCGTCAACCAGTGAGTTGCAGCCACAAACTTAGTGACAAAGCTTAGATCAGTAATTTTGTTCACATGTAATCACTATTTGCTGTTCCTCGAAGACCTGCGCTCAGTGCTTCAACGCCGTGCTCTCCTTGCTGGGCTCCCTGTTGGGCCTCTGGGGTGCCGGGGACCTCAGCCAAACCAAGGAGCTTTGAGAAGGTTCTTTTGGAGAAACATCACGGTCAGCCTGGAATCGCCGTTATACAAACGTGGGATCTGGAAGCACAAAGCCTTGGAATTCTGATCCTTCAAGAGAAAGCTGGTCAAACGGTTCTTGAAGCCCCTTCTAGCCTGAAATTCAGATTTTTTGCTTCACCTTTGGGTATGTCCGCAAATCAGACTCCCCCATGCAACACTCTAGAATATATGTGGGAAGCTAGTCATGCGCTAGGTATTTTCAGGGAAAACGGAGCTCTTTGTGGAACGCAAAACTAAAATCACGCAACAGCTCATGCGCCCATGAAAGGCTCAACGTTTTATTTGCTTTTAAATTGATTGCATCGTGCATGATGAGCCCGAAGAGTTGGACATCATCACACTCTGACGAGAGAACATATCAGCAATGAATGTTGCTTGCTTCTGCCATCCTCCAAGATATTAAAGTCGTCCAATGGATATTGCTCTCCGATTTCCACTACAAGGGATGCTTTTGTGCTGCTGCGATTGGCAATGTTCAATGCTGTTGGTGAACTGACCGATTTCAGGCGATCTAAATAGGCTTAGTGATAGTCTGGAAGCCTTGCTCGCATTTGGTGGGGACATTTCTGGGGTGCCTCCACGGCATGCCGGAAGGGCAATCAAAAGTGAATGGTGCAGGAATGGTTGGCGTGGTGGTGCAGGTTTGAAAAGCAGCTACTGTGTTGCATACAACCTTCGTATCGCTGGACAACGCTAGAAAGAGTTGCTGGTATGCACTCTGGAGCATGTGAGGTGCTTCGGCTACAGCGGAAGTTGGAAGGCAAACAGGCACTGTGGGTATGAATCGGGGAAGAAATTTCCGAGGGCAAAGTTGGAGGACACTTTGATATATATATATATATATTGTTACTAATTATTATGCATATAGCCAGATGCAAACATGTCCTAGACTTTTGCACAAAAGTGGTAGGGGATGCTGGGTCTTCGGTCAAAAAGCATCTTCAACCGGAAAACAAGACGTGTCCAGAATCTGCTTTGCAGACGTGTCATGACGTGTTTCGAGGCTTGGCAAGTGTCTAAACCTCACAGAACATGTCGTGGGAACTGACTACAGGTACCTTTCCTGACCCTGTTTTTGGATAGAAACTGACTCCTGCGCAAATGCATTGGTGATCTTTGATGTGTTGGATGACCAAACCTGTCACAAGATACTACAAGCCAAAGGGTTCAAGAACCAACGCAGGTCCAAGAAGAGACTTTGGGACACCCCCCCTCGCAGCGAGGTTAAACCCTACAGCTTGAAGCTTTCAAAGAGATCTCTTCAGGAGGTTTTGCTTAGCCTAAAGCATCTGAAAGCGCATGTGTCTGAACATTTGTTCTTGCATTGTTACAGATTGTTCCTGTTCTTACTCGAGAATTTACCGGAGTCACTGGCCAGTCTTGGCCATTAGTCTTCAGCGTTTCCGTTTTCCATTGTACCTCGCTTGTAGTCGACAGGGCACTTCATGACTTGGTTTGCAGTTCGATCCTTGTGTCATCTCCAACGTCACCGCAGCCATTGTGGCTTGCAGAAGAGTTTGATTTTGCGGGAGCTATGAGGAGAGCCAGCGGGGATGGGGGACTGGAGCTGCACTGATGTGCTGTGTCTCGGTACTCCGTGTCATGCTCCTGTGGCTTGGTAAGTCTTGAACCCTTGTTATAGGGCCATCCTGTTTAATGTCTGGTGACCCGAAAGCGGGCTTCAGAGGATCTCTAAATTTGCGACTCATTACTTTTGATTGTGGCACAATCTTGGAGAAGATTTCGATGTTTGGATACATGCTCGATCTCAAAAACCAAAGGATGCAAATATAATTTTGGAACAGCCAGATCACAAGGTCCAGAGTTTAGAGATTGTGGTTGCTGCCTTCTCCTCAAAAATACATGTGGAAGGGATTTACACAGGGTGGAGGGAGTGCAGTATAGTTTGCAAGCCACCACGACTTGATAAACTCTGATGTGCCCACTGACGTGGGGACACTTAGTGCGCCGATGGAACACCAAGCGGAACGGAAGCAAAGTCCAAACGGTAAAACTCTGAGAATGCCTAATGTTTGAGACATCCCCCATGGCCCCATGATATTCGGACTAGAAAATGGGAGGGGTTGACGTTTGTAGAAAGCGGCATGTATTGGGCCACAAGGAGGTAAGCTCACCGGCAAGGGGTCAGGTATTGCATTTTCTAGACAGAATGTAATTCACTAGAAAATGAGACACACGGGTCACATAGGCATGCTTCCAAGGTTATGTTGTAGACATCACCTTGTTCTCTTGATCCCAGCTGTCCCTTCATTTTCTATTGAG